GGACAGCAAGTCACAAAGTTCCAAGAAAGTGCCCTTACGCATGCTAAAGTTTCGCAGCCACTGGGAATCGTCCCACACCTGCAACACTATGTGGTCCCACCAGTCTGTGCTTGTTTCCCGGGCCCAGAATCGGCGTTCCACGGATAGAACCTGCCCCACCAACAACATGATCTCCAATGCGCCGGGACCCGCGGTTTGAGAGAAGTCTGTGTCCAAGTCCATGTCCTCATCACTCTCGTCACCGCGCTGCCATCACTGCCTCCTCCTTGCCTCGTTTTTCTGGTCCTGGTACAGCATAAACTGCACGATAATGCGCAAGGTGTTTACAATGTTCATGACTGCTGTCTTGAACTGAGCGGGCTCCATGCTTGCCGTGGTATGGCGTCTGCTGTGTTCACCCAGGAAAAAAGGCGCGAAACGGTTGTCTGCCGTTGATTTCATGGAGGGAGGGGTGAGGCTGTACCCAGAACAACCTGTGACAATGTTTTTTGCTGCATCAGGCACTGGGATCTCAACCCAGAATTCCAGTGGGCGGGGGAGACTGCGGGAAGTATGGGATAATTATGGGATAACTACCCACAGTGCAACGCTCCAGAAATCAACGCTAGCCCCGGTGCATGGATGCACACCGCCGAATTAATGTGCTTAGTGTGACCGCATACATTCGACTTTATACAATCTGTTTTCAAAATTCAAATTCTGTAAATTCGGATTAATCCCATAGTGTAGAGATACCCTAACATACATTTTTACAGCTGATTATTCTGAACACCTTTGATAGTTGTCTCAGCTGAGAAGCAGATGACTGAATGAACCAGAGACTGTCAGACCCTCATTCCTAACAGCGGCCCCTCTGGGTCTGGTTTGAGGGACAATAATGGAGCAGAATGAGGAGACTTGTTCTGTACCCATGCTGTATCTAATCTGAGGATAAACAAAGAGCTTCAGACTCCAGGGCTGCCAATCCAGCACCTTTCACCATCGTTAAATAAACACACATCCACAAAAATATGTCTTTTGATGAAATCCAAGGAAAGGCTGTCGTAGCAGCTCATATTTCTCCATCCTATCTAAGATCCTGGCTAACCCTTCTCTGAGTCACAGGCTGATATCTGTGCTAATTAATCTACCCATTCTTTGCGGACTCAAGCCCCTTGGGTTTGCATAAGTCAAAAGTACTTTTTGAAAGCATCGTTCTATTTACATCCAATGAATATATCTCCCCAGCTCCCAAACTCAAATGCAGCACTAACTTACCATGGCTATTTGAACAAACTGGATGGAGTGCACTACAAGAGCACCTGTTAATACCAGCTTTTACTCATGCGTAATATACAATAACAGTTCTCTAGCTCCCTCTGTGAGGTTCTGTTTCTGATTTTCTGAAAGCCTGGGAAGGTTTATAGCATATATTCTAGGTGGTTATTTGTTTCTAGTTATTTTAGCATACCTTGGGTAGTACAATTCAAGTTAAAGGAACTCACTGGTTTTTTCCAATTAGGAAAGAGTTAATAAAATAGTACTCCAAAAAATCACAAAATATTGACGTATACAATCTGCAGCTGTCACGTAGCACAGCACAGATGAACAGTTTGCTTGACAAGTCCTTTTGATAGCCAGTCACGTGCTTTAACCAATAGACCATGCTTCCTCATATGGCATGTACATCCCACCCATGATTGCAAAATGTTTCTGTTTTCTCAGAGACTGGTTTTTTGAGATACTTGGAATTAGCTAGGTGTGGCTAGGTCTGGGGGAAGGGAGCAGGCATAAACTTCCCGAGCCATCTGTCAGAAAGAATCTCCTAATGTTATCTGGTTGTGTAGAGGTATGTCTGTAATTTTGAGTAAGATGTAAGCCTTATCAAATGGAAGTCTTGCTTAAAAGAATGTATTTCTATAGTGAATTTAGCACTTTTATTTACCCACTGAACAGGTACAGCACATGCAATGCTAATGTGAGCTTCCTCATACTGCCTACCTAACATACTTCATCCCTGAAGGTTTGCTCTTCGTTATAAGCCAGATTTCAAACCTCTACCCCCAACATCTCCCTCTTCTGGAGATTTTTTACATGCCTCAGGGTGGAATTCTTCTGGGAAGTTTGGTAAAAATCAGGGGGGAGAATTTAAAAGTTGTTATGGCTTATTGAAAATGTAGGTGTAGGTCATGCTTTGGCTAATGCTGTTTTGGTGCATGATGTCTCTAACATAAGCTTGGCCTCAAAACTCTACGTCTAAACTTTTAAAATTTTAAGGGAAAGGGTACAAAGATACTAGCTATTCCAAGGATATAATGAACAACATGTACAATGTGAGAAATGTAGGGGGCTGGAATCTTAAAAGGGGCATGGACTAGGAGGAGAATTGGTAGGGGGAGCATGTGACCAGAAGTGATGTGACCTCGAGGTACAGGATTGGGGCACAGAGCATTGTGTCATGGAGCCATTTTTCCTAGCTTCAGAATAGAGTATGGAGGGAGGATTGAGGAATAGACACATGGGGAGAAGCAGGAAGGAGAAGGGATAGGAAGGAGCGGGAGACCCTACTAGCATAGAAGGGAGACTAGAATTGAGGCAAAGGAGAGAGGACATGGAAAGCAAGAGCAGGGAACTGGGGGAGAAATACATAATGTGTGTGCAGGGCATCTGAGGAGACATAGCAGGGACATGGAAGAGTTAGAGTGTTTAACATTTTCTATAAGGACAAAAGCTTCCCACCTCCCCTTCCATTCCTTGTCACTGCCCATTGCCCATTATTCACTTAGATCCCTGTGGTGCAGCTCCATGCACTGCACACACTACACCTCTGTGGAAAATGACACTTAAAATACATGGCCATGTTCCACCACAGCCCAGAAGACCCAGCAGAGAACAGCAGCCAAGGAGATTGATCTTGAATTTTACCATTGACATCAGTGGATGAAGGATCGAGCTGTTAATGAGCATTTTGTGAAAATGCCAGGAATGTCAAGGAAATGCACCCAGGAAATCATATATTTCTCTAGCTCAAAAATCATGGATATTTGCAAATAATTCAAGCTTTTGCAACTGGAACCTGACAAAGCAGAAAGTGGCAGCTCTCATCAAAGGGCTCTCACTTCCACCTGCCCTTTTGTCCTGCACTGCCATTTTTCACATTCAATCCCCTTGCCCAGGCAAATACCACTGCTGCATTGCAACCTTTGCCCAGCTAATGGAGCTCAATTGTCCTGTTCAAAGTCTGTTCTGCCGCACTAGCCAGCCCCTATGATTAATAAAAGGGTCTTTTTTTCTGTCTTTATACTACACTGTTTAATGTTGAATTACACTTATGAAAATTCTGCTGCAGACAATGTGAAGCGTTCATACAAACCGAGTAAATTTGATTTGAATTAATGTTATTACAAAAGATCGACAGAAATTAGGAATGCCAGAAAACTTAGTGTGTGACAATGGAATGTTCAATTAATACAATACACCTAGGGAAAGGTTTGGGGGGGGGGGAAAGAAAAACGATAAGAGCTCAGTTGATTACTAGGTGGCACAAAATATAGGAACATATTATAAACAGAATCAATGGAATAAGCAGAGGGTAAGGGAAAGGTTTGGAAACATGCAGCCCGTCCAAACTGAGATTTGACTCCTGTGTCATCATTATTTCTATTAAAGTAGCACCTAGAGACCCCAACCAGCATCAGGGCCACATTGTACTCTATGAACACATAGTAAGAGACAGGCTGTGCCCTGAAGAGGTTACAATCTAAATAGATAAAGGGTGCATGGGAAACTGAGGCACAGAGCGGTGACGTGACTTGCCCAACAACACCAGAGCCAGGAATAGAATCTGCGTCTGCTGAGTCCTGGTCTAGTACTCTACTTTTTGGTGTCAGGCAGAGAAATATTTTCTGATAAGAGTGGTTCTAATAATAAAGTTACACCACAGTGCTGCATGCACCACTCTTTATTTTAAAAATATATCACAAGTATAGGCCAAAACGTTACAGCTAATCACGTGGATACTGCTGTGTTTGGGAAAGAGGGAGAATGAGAACAATAGAATAGAGACATTATTACATGTACACCCAAGAATGTTCCTAGCAACACAGTGTACCTCATGTATAATAATACCTAACTCTTATTTAGCACTTTTAATACAGAGATCAAAGGAAGTAAGCATCGTTTCCTTTACTTTACAGATGAATAAACTGAGGCACAGGGTAGCAATCCATTGGTTGAGCTGAGAACAGACCCATGTCTCGGAGTCCCAGAAGTGCTTAATCCACTAGACAACACAACATACAGATTATTCATTAATAGCAAGGATCTAAATATATTGTTTTCATTGCAGAGCTGCAGATGCAAACTATTAACAGCAATACTGCTGGTCAAACATATATTTTATTCACCATGAAACAATGCCAAGAAAACAAACATTTTTAATTTTCAGTAATTTTTTTTCCAGATTTTTGTGGAAAAACTGGAAACTGGAAAACTACACAGTTTTTCATTTTTGATGACTGAAATTTTTGGAAACCAAAACAATGTTCAGTGTGCAGTTTTTTATGAAAACCCCAGAAATGTAGATGAAAATTATAATTTTTTCATTAAAATTTCCATTTAATGTAAAAGCGATTTTTTTTGTCCAACATAAAAAAAATTAAATTGTTTGTTTTTTAATTTATTCATTTTTTTGAACAACTCTAATTGCAATTCCAAAACTACAAACTTGCAATTGCATGTTAGCTGCTAAAAATACCCTAATGGGCTAATTCGTCTCATTTGCACCAATGTAAATAGTCAGTAAAAAAACAAAACAAAACATGGACTTAACAGAGACAAGGGTTTTATGGCTCTTTACAACAATTTGTAACACACCCCGCTGCCTACTTATCCTCCTTTGTCCTATGAGGGCAGAGGTATTAATTGCCCACTTCATTTTAAGTGGTCTCCTCCAACATGTATGAACCCTTTATGTTTAACAGTCTGTCCTGTCTTGTATTTAGCTTGGACACTCTGCTTACCTTCCTCAGACCTGTGCAACAGATCTGTGAGGCTTGAAGGCCTGTCCCTTCCATCAACAGAAGTTGGTCCAATAAAAGATATTACCTCACCCACTGTCTCTCATATCCCAGGACCAACATGTCCACAAAAACACTGCAAACAATCAAGGAGTAACTCATTTTAATTCAATGGAGTTCTACTGGTTTAAAAACCATTGAGATTTGCATCAGCTCTAAATTTCTAGTGCCTTTGAAATGCTAAAAGAGCATGATTGAGGGGGCTTCATCCCAGCTCCCCCAATATTTCAGTCAAGCAGAGACAATCTCCAGCAAGCGGTTTCGCCAATACTAACACAATTCAGGCTTTATGGAAAGGAGTCTAGATACCTTAAACAAAACCCACTCTCTACCTCTTTCCCCTATTGTAGACTAACTACGTTTCTTACTTACTTTAGGCAGTGTGGCCTAGCGGCTAGTGCACTGCACCGTGATTGAGGAGACGTGGTTTACAAAGTTAAAATGATTCTCTCTGCCCCTGCTGATGCCGTACTTCCCGACAACAAAATGCCATATTATTAGTGCTTAGATACAAGGTGCTATAAAAACCCTAAAATAGATTCAATACTAAGAAAAAAATCACCCCATTCTCTGTAGGCATATGGCTAGACTGTGCCCCATGTGAGAGGTGCTGTTTAAGCTTCCCCACTACAAGAGCAGTAGGCATTTGTGCATCAGGGACACCCCTATGAGGCACAATTCTCTTCCTGCCTCCTTTTTGTGCCAAGGTTGATAGTAATTATAATACCCACATCTGCTTAGCTGCACTGTCCAGCATATTGAGGAGAATCAAGGCTCAGTCCATTCCCTGCCTCTTCCTACATACATGCTCTGGGCAGAAAGGGGTACATGGCTCTGGATAGTCCAAGCAGCTGTGTCAGAGGTGGAAGGGCCTTATTGCCCCTGCATGGGAGTAGAGTCCAAGTCACCGCCTTTGCTTTGAAGCACTGAAATAAAGATGTTACAGCTACATCCACCCAAAATCCTGGCTGTCTATTTCAAAATCAGCTAAGATTTTATCTGTTTCCTCAGTACATTTGGAAATCCAATATACATTTAGCTATCATTCACATCTCGTGCCAAGACTGTTGTTTCATATGGGTTGACTCTTATCTGATACCTGCAGGCGTAACTGCAACGCTGCTGGAGATTTTCTTCATATATGGCAATGTGCCCTAGAATTATTTCTTATTGGCCAGCTAGTTTTCAACATACTGAACAGATAGCAGGCTATTTGAGAGGCTCAAATGGTTCTACTAAGTATTCAGTTTATAGATCAAGATACTATTCAGAATGCCCTGACACTCATTCAGTTCTTATTACTGACAGCTAGATTAGTATTAGCAGCCATCTGGAAGTGTATGCAGACCAATCAAAATTAAAGGGGCACTAGCAACTGGAAATATAGTCAGTTAAAAATTGTGTTAAACATACTTTCATGTACTTCACCTGCCCCCGAGCTCCTCAAATAATGTTTTACAATCACATTTTCCTGTTTAAAGAAAGTTTCCTTTCCCCTATTGTTGTATAAAAGACCCACACACAAACAACAAGAGAAGGTGACTAACTAAATTATTTTATATTTTGGAAGCAGTGAAATCGAGTATTGTTATTTCTTTAGATATAAATGGTTGTAAAAAATGACTCGGGGAAAAATTCTAGCAACTAATTATACAACATGGTGTCAATGGCATAAAGTAAATAAACTGGAAACTCCCCTATCCCTTCCCCCAAAAGTAGGGTTTTTTTTGCTCCAATCCCTTTCAGTTACGGTAATCTTAGATGTTACTTATAACAATAGTAGGTTAAAAAAATTCAGACAGATGTGTGTGTGTTTTGGTTTTTTTTAAGTTGGCACTGGCTCTTTAAGCAGTTGGTGCCATAAAAACTGGAACATTTTTATTGGAGGTGTGGAGACTGGTTTAATTTAAAAGAGGAAATTTACAGAATTACCCTATACTGTGGTAACCTCCTTTTTGACCATGTTGAGAAGACTCCAAGAATCCAAGAAACCTGCCTTACTGTCTCCTTTTAGTCTGATATAGAAGTTTGTCTTGTTTTATATAGACGTATTTGTTTTTGTTGTATGTAATTAGGGTCAAGTGTACTACTATCTCCCAGGCACCCACAGTTTATTTTGACTAATCTAATTGTACATTGTAAGGGAATAGTTGTCTTTTGTATGGGCTTGTTAAGGTTGTGGAAGGATATATATATAATAACAACATCTGTGGTTTCTCAGCTACCAGTGGCAGCTATGCCCAACTAGGTTTAGTCCATTAGATTTTTCTTTTGTTTATTTGCTGAATTTATTTAGTCATGTCTGAAATTATTTCTTCTCTTGTACTTAATTCCAGTGGTACTGCCTCACAGAATGTTTGAAAAGAAAACATCCACTGAGCTTCTGAATTGGTCTCTGCAGGAATGCCAACAACTACTGTATCTGTCAGAATGAATACTGAAGGTGTAAGTGGTTTTATTGTTTAATTTTGGAGGTATCTAATTTTTCTGGTATTTTTGGATTTCCAAAAATATTAGTGTGTTTTAATGCCTTTATCTCAGTATCTGCATATAGGTTCCCATCCAAAGCTCACTCCAATCTGTAAGAGTCTTTCTGGTGACTTCTGTAGCTTTTTGAAGAGACTCTTGTTTTGTGCTGTATTTCACTAGAAAGTTCTGATTCTGAGATATCCAAGGACTGCAAGCATGAAGTAAGATTCCACGTGGTTTCAGAGATATCAGTATTACAACTGTGCATTTAGGAAATAAAACTGTGAGGAGGGGGAGATCTTGGCCTAACTCTGCTCCCACTGAAATCAAGTTAGAGTTCTACCGATGATTTCAATTGGAGCAGAGCTTAGGCCAACACTGCACACTTTGGAAATTCCCAAGTTTAGTAGGGCAGCAAGGGAGAATGTTGAATCCAGTTCAAGATCTTGGTCCTTATCTCCAAGGTCCTCCATGTCCTGGGCCCAGGCTATCTAAAAGATTGCCTAAAGCTCTGGGATGAAAACCGCGGTCAACAAATTCACTCCTCTGGCACAATGGAACTCTCAATAACAAAGGTAAAGCGTGTCTGTGCAGGAGACAAGTTTCTGGAGGGACAGTCTGAGACACTGGAACAAACTATCTATAGGGATAGTTAAACTCTAGACTTCCAAAGAAGGTTGTGAAAACGCCATAATTGGAGGTTTTTAAGAAGAGGTGGGACAAACACCTGTCAGGGATGATCTAGGTTTACTTGGTCCTGCCTCAGTGCAGGGCACTGGATTTGATGACTACTGGAGGTCCCTTCCAGGCTTACATTTCTATGATTCTATAAATGTTGGCTTACCGTGCTTTTTTGTGAATGCATGAGAGCATATTCAGCAGAGGCATTGGCCCTTAATGTTGGTGCATAACAAAGAAACAGAAGGGTTCACATTTTTGCTGCATCAGCCAATTGTTCTTTTGATAAGGTAGTTACTTATGACTATTATCTCAAGTTTTTATTACACTTCACTTATCTGATACTGTACATAAAATACAAGAATTAGTTAGCCACCACCAGGTCTTTGGAGTATACCAATTTTTTTCTGTCTTTTTTTTTAATACATGAAAAGGTGGCTTATTAATAGAATTAACCTATTGATTTGGAGATTTTTGAACTCTCTCTCATATCAACCACTTTTTCATGAGAAAAACAAAATTTACAATCCATTTTGTAATTTAAAAAAGATCAGAAATCATAATTGACATGCACCTGATATAGTCGATATTATGATGGTACATGAAGGTACCTCCAGCTGCAGTAAGTAGGTGTGATTGGGGCTCTTGCCTGCTCTCATTTTGAATTTGACAATCTTTGGAATGAAAATGAGAAGCTAGAAATATTGACTCTAAAATGTAAATGTTTAATGTGTCCAATTTAAGGCTTACTTTAAGTCATAGAATCAAGGGAGTCTTTCCACTTTGGATCAGGACCTAATGTAAGCTTCTTAGGGCAAGTTTCCTTCCATTGTTCCAGAGCATGAAACACACCAAAATATGTTTAAAATTAGAGATGGAAACTAAATATCCCTACACTTCGGATAAATTTGCATTCGGATGTAAACTGTGCACCTTAGGCCCCTTTCTTTTTATTAATTGACACAAATTTTGCTACCTCATGGCTAAGGTTCCTCCTAGGTATGTAAATAAGGGAATGTTAGGAAAAAATTAAGTGTTAAAGCATAGATATTAAGGGGAGGTAGAAAAATATTCAAATACACAGTTCTCTTAAATGATTCTTCACTTGAAAAAGATCACATTGCATACGGCAACTCCCACCTCCAATAACTCTGTACCTATCTAGCCAACCAGCATCCGTGTACTAATGACAATTAGAAAACCTAGTTAACACTTTGCTCCCAAACTTTTGCTCATTACCGAACTTTCGCTCATCACTGAACTTCCTGGGTGCAGTCAACAGCACAAGGACTAAAATGTTGTGAGAAAGAGACTGTACTCACACTATTTTCAGCATGATCAAAATCAGTCAGAATAATTAATAACAATTAATTAATACTAACACTTATAGAGCACTTTACAACTTCAAAATTCTGTACAAACATTAACTGCTTAGGGTGAAATCCTAGCCCCATTGAAGTCACTAGGAGTTTTGCCATTAACTTCAGTGGGCCAGTTTGTCACCCATAATCTTCACAACACCCCTTTCAGGTAAAGTAAGTATTTTTACCCCTATTTTACAGATGTACAAGCAGCAACAGATGAAGTTAAATGACCTGAGCTAGGCACCGTAGGTAGGTCTACTGTTTAATTGTGATGTAGACATTTGGCCTCCAGCTGAGCTTTGGGGCCCTCCCCCATTATGGGGTCCCAGAGTCTGGGCTCCAGCTCGAGCCCGAATATCTACACAGCAGTTTTACAGCCTTGCATCCTGAGCCCTGTGAACTTGAGTCAGCTGACCTGGGCTAGCTGCAGGTGTTTAAATGCAGTGTAGACATACCCTGTATGAACAAGTAGAAGACAGACTCTTCCCCAGAGAGTTCAGAATCCTGCAGGCAAAGTTCCCACTGAAGTCAATGGAAGTGTTTTTCCCATGAATGCAGGACCAGG